CATTTTACACCGATCCGGTCTCAATGAAGAGCAGAAGGCAGTGGTGTTGGCCCGGTCGCTGGGTATCCTCAAACGCGAGGAAGTGGGACGAGCCATGCGCTCGTGCTACCCCGAGTTCGTCGTCAAGAAAAAGCATATAGGCGCTGGCCTCGTTGAGGGAGATGTCGGAACCACTGCACCCGACTATCCCGACCTTGAAGATGAGTCGGATTTGGCCGCTGAGGTGGAAGCTTTTCTGGCGGAACACAACGTCAGTGCTGGCTCCAATGAGGGTGACCTCGATGAGGTGTACTCCGAGCAGGAAGTGGCTGAAGCATTGGCCATCTCATGGAAAGATCGCCGTAAAGAGCTTGGCAAGCTACAGAGGTCTCGCAAATTTGCGGCTGCCGACCTGAAGCGTAGCTATCGGGTCGAGATTGCTGAACTGAAACGCAAGACCAAGTGCCATCGTTGCGGGCAGGTGGGGCACTGGTCCCGCGAGTGCTCTCAACCCCGTGGCTCTAGTTCTGGAGGATCGAAGAAAGAAGCTGGAGCCGCTTTTGTTTGCTACGACCAGGAGGACTTTGTGGCTATGGCGGCTTTGTGCAAAGAGTTCTTGTCTCCACTCTCCCTGCTCCGACAACGACAAGCAGCACGTATGCCTCAGGTCACCGACCAGCCTTCTCTCGAGCAGCCCGAGATTCTGTTGGTGAGCTCTCCAGGCTATGGCATCCTGGACTCGGGTTGCGGTCGATCCATCATCGGACGTGAGACCCTGAATGAGTTCACCCAACTTTGGACTGAGGCAGGCATGTCCGTTCCGGAGGAGATTGCCGAGACCAACCATTTTCGTTTTGGCAATGGTGAAAAGGAGACCACGACCTCAGTGCTGCGTCTCCCAGTGTGTCTGGGAGGCAAACGAGGCACGATCCGCACGGCCATTGTGAAAGGTCGAGTGCTCTCCAGACTCTGCAGGCCGTGATCGACTTTGGCAACAGCCGATTGACCCTATTCAATGAACAGGTGAGTGTGCCCCTGAAGGTGAATGAAGCCGGACAATATGCCGTGAATGTTATTGGAGAACGCCAGGCACCTGATTTTGAACAGGAGTGCATGTGCAGTGCATCCACCCTACCTACTGCCTCTGGTCAGTTGGAGAGGCCATCGGAATCTGGTGTTGAGCTAGGCATCCAAGAGCCGCCTGGCAACTCGGTCCCGCTTCAGTCATGGTTTCGAGAAGATTCCTTTTTGCAGCAAACCCCCACCATTGGGAAGCAAGGTCCCCTTTGGCACACAGTGGTTCATAGGAAGGTGATTGATTGTGATACTGGAGTGGTATTGTTTGATGAACCCATCTCACCACAAAAAGGGAAATCGGCCTATCACCATGCCATTCCTAGACATGTCATGCACACTCGAACCGAGTTTGTTTTTCGACCGCAGGAAGTGCACTTTTGAGAGCCTTCCGGTGCACCATGTGCGCCAACTGAAATCTCAGATAAATCGAATAGGGAAGTCTGAGTCACCCTCCAAGCATGATGCCAACGTCAGGTCCAAGAGGTTGACAGTAGCTGAAGTTTTCAGCCCTCCTCGATTTGTTCCCCTGGTGGAAGGTGTAGGAGGCGTGTGCAAGTCGTATGACCTCGTCACAGGATATGATTTTCAGCAAGCCAAGACTAGGGCGTCCGTGTCCAGGGAACTCCGCGAAGAACCACCTGATCTTCTTATCCTGTGTCCCCCTTGCACCGATGCCAGAGGATGGTTCAACCTAAATTGTCACTCCATGCCCGCGGAGGAAGTGGCCAGACGAATACGCCAGAGTCGCCTGTTTGTTCGATGGTGTTGCCAGTTGTTCAGGCAACAAGTCGAGGCGGGCAAACAAGCCTTGTTCGAACATCCTCGAGGCTCCAGAGCATGGCACATGACTGAGATGAAAACCCTGCTCAAAGAGTTCTTTCCTCTCGAGTGTGATTTTTGTAGGTTTGGTTTGAGAATTCCTGGTTCAGAACAATTGATCAGAAAGCCCACTCGCCTGCTGGTGAGTGACCAGGGTATGCAAGTTCTTGAACAAAAATGCCCAGGACAGGCTCATGAGAAACATGGTACTCACCAGCCAGTGGCCGGAAGTCATCCCTCAGTTGGTTCCATCAGCGCCTTCACAGGCAAGTACACTCCGTCCTTTGTGATGGCTGTCATGAATACGGTTCCCCAGTTCCGAGAGATGTCTCGCAGCCATTTGCCACCGTGTTTACCATGGTCATTTCAACATGAACACGATGTTCTCATGGTAAAAGGGGATTTGGAACATGAAGATGATGAGATGGTCAAGAAGGCCTTGTTTCGGTTACACAAGAATTTGGGGCACCCCTCAAGTGCTGACCTGGTCCGCCTTTTGAAACATGCTCAGGCCTCCGACAAGGCTCTTGCATTGGCACGTCAGCTCAGTTGTGACTTCTGTCAAGCACAGGGTAAACCCCGAACTCCACTCCCAGCACAGGTAGATCATCCCAGAGAATTCAACCATGTGGTAGGAATCGATGTGAAAGGATTGAGAGGCTGGAAGAATAACCAAACCATAAAGGCCTTGAATATAGTGGATCATGCTAGCAATTACCAACTTGTGCTTCCCTTCTTCGAGCAAGAGACCTCCCAGGTCATCAAGCATCTGTTTTCAAGTCAATGGGTGCGTACTTTTGGAGCCCCGAAAGTGTTGATGATGGACCCTGCTCGAACCAATCTAGGAGATGTTTTACAGAGTTATTTGGAGAGTCTGGGCACACACTGCAAGCCCATAGCCACAGAGGCCCATTGGCAGTTGGGTCGTACTGAACGTCATGGTGGATGGTTTGGCAACGTGCTTTCCAAACTAGTGGAAGAACATTCTCCTTCGACAAAAGAAGAGTGGGAACAGTTGGTTATTCATGCTCATGTGAAGAACACGATGATTCAGAACCACGGCTTCACTCCCTACCAATTTGTTTTTGGGAAGAACCCTGATGTTCCGTGCGATCTTTTGGATGAACCACTACGAGTTGTTCCAGCTACTCTGGGACTGACAGATGCTGCTATCCAGAAGTCGCAAGAGATTCGCTCGACTGCTCGGAAAGCAGTCATCGATCTCCAGAGCGATCAGGCCTTGAGACGTGCTCTAGCAGCACGACCTCGTACAGTTCCTGACTTTCAAGCTGGAGATTTGGTGGCTTATTGGAGAGAACAAAAGTTTCAGGGAGCTACTCAATCTCAAAAGGGGCATGTGAAAGATAGGACGCAACTATGTGATTGCCCATCGGAAGCAAATTTTTCGTGTTGCCCCCGAGCAGCTGAGACCCGCAACCACAGAGGAACGTACAGTCCTTCAATCCCCACAAGCTGAGTTGTTGGGAATCAAAGACTTGTTGGAAGGGGGTACCTTTCGCAGTCATCAGTTTGTGGACCTAGTACCAGGCCACTATCCCTCCACACATCCAGTGTTGACCAAGTCTCCCATTGTTGCTGACACCGAACTTCCAGCGCCAGCTGACCATCAGCCACCGACACCAGTCCAGACCTCCAACCTGGAGGCAGCTCCTCCGACCAACGAGCCGACCGGTGACTCAGCCATCGCTCCTGAACCCATGGAGGTGGTGCCACCAGATGGCCATTCCAACAGTATTCCAGAGATTGAGTCAGGAAATCCTCCAGGCAATGCAGACAACGAACCAAGTTTTCCTCGATTTTCTCTGGGTGGCTCCAGTTCCAGCAAAGGTGAAAGTCCAGCGCCTCAAGGATATGGGCCCATCCGGCGTCGAGTACCATCCAAAGCCGGTGGAGCAGCCTTGTACAGGCCTCCCGCTATGCGAGAGGAAGATTTTACTGAGATGATGCGAGAAGTTGTTCCTCGGTTGATCGCTGACTCCTTGCAGAATACGCCAAGCAACATGGATGAATCATCGACATCCAAACGATCAGCAGATGAACTTGGTGTGTCGACAGAGGAACCTCCTTCTTCCAGGGTGAGAACTCAGGAAGGAACCGAAGAGGACATCCTTCTCGTTCAAGAGTGCGATGAAATCATGGACAGTTGGCGACCTGATCGGCCCATCGAAGTCCTCATGGCCGCTTATCTACAGAAGAAGTTCAGCAAAGAAATTCCACACACCAACCAGGATGCTGAGTTGCAAAAACTGGTAGATGAGTCCAAGTCCACGGAATGGGGGACAATTCTAGAAAAACAGGCTGTGAAAGTACACTATGGCAAAAAGGCAGCACAACTCAGGGCAAGGTACCCCAACAGGTTCATTGGTAGCCGATTTGTGATCATTCGGAAACCCATTGAAGAGAACGTAGCAGTAGATCCCAATGATCTATGCACTTTTCGCATCAAAAGTCGGTGGTGCCTTCAGGGTCATCTGGATCCAGATTTAGACGCAAAGGCTCAAGAAGGTCTGTTGAAGTCACCCACACTCAGCCAGATTTCTCGTATGCTGTTGATGCAGTTGATCTGCTCTCACGGCTGGGATCTGCAGCTGGGTGACATCAAGGGAGCTTTCATGGAAGCAGGACCGTTGGATAGTAAGTTCCGACCTCTCTTCGCTTCTCAACCGGCAGGTGGAATCCCAGGGGTTCCAAAAGATGCAGTGCTCGAAATTGTTGGTAATGTTTACGGCCAGAACGATGCACCGGCTAGCTGGTTTAAAACTTTCCACACAGAGGCTGTCAAAGCGGGATGGATCCAATCCATCTTTGATCCGTGTTTGTATTTTCTCCGGGAGGGAGACAAACTGACAGGGATTATGGGAGTTCATGTTGATGACACTGCAGTGGGGGGTTCGGGTGAGCTTTTCGATAGTGCTATCTCCAAACTCAAAGAAAGGTTCCCCTATAGGAAGTGGAGAGTCGGAGAAGGAGAGTTCTGTGGCAGTTACTATCGCCAAGAGTCGTCTAGTAAGCACATCCACATGTCCCAGCAGCTGTTTGCAGAGAGCCTGCGTCCTGCCACAATTCCCAAGGGAGCCGTGAATGAAACCAGACTCAATGAGTCGCAGGTTCGAGTGCTCAGGGCAATCAATGGTAGCCTTAACTGGATTTCTTCTCAGTCTAGACCTGATCTAGCAGTACAGACAAGCATGTCTCAACAGTCATTCCCTCATCCCACCATCCGTGACCTGAGGAATGTGAATAATGCTGTCAGGAGAGCCCGAATGCACAAGGACCTTGAAATCCATTTTCAGGCGATCGAGCCACAGCGGTTACGAGTGTGTGCTCACTCCGATGCGGCTTGGGCAAATCTGGGAAACCACACTCAGGCAGGCTACATCATTGCTTTCACTGACCAGGACCTGAATCAGGCTAAGGTTGTGCCTTGGACACCTGTGATTTGGAAGAGTTATCGTTTGCCGCGAGCCGTGAGCTCCACTCTTTCCGCAGAAAGCCAAGCAATGTCCTGTGCTACTGGCTCGGTAGAATGGATCAGCCTTCTTCTGTGTGAGGCACTGGATGGCTCCTTTGAACCCAGAGCCGGACGAGAACTCTTGCAGAAACGACCCCCAATCATAGCTACAGACTGTAAGTCTCTGTTCGATCATCTGACGTCCCCGTCCGCTCCGACCGCAGTTGAAGACCGTAGAACTAGTATTGATATTGTGATCATCAGAGAATCTCTCAAGCTTACTCAAGGGGTTGTTCGTTGGCTTCCGACCGATAGGATGTTGGCTGATGGGCTCACTAAAGATAAGCAAGACCCAATAGATTTACTTCGGTCGTGCGTCCGAAACTCGTCCTATCAGATTTCTCCAGAAGATTTTGCGCTGGCCCAACAAGCTGCTGAGCGGGATCGCCGTCATCAAAACAGACGTTTTTCTGATGACCAGCCAGCAAAGAAGCCGGAGTCAGATAAATAGACCATAGCACAAATTCAATAGATAAGGAGTCGACGGGAGTGCAAAGCTGTGTACTCAGGGGGAGTCTTGTGTTTTTGCCGTTCGAACTCAAAACATAACTATGCATGCAGCTATGCGTCAGTTGTCACGAAATGTTTTCTTTGTGTTCCTGCAGATCGATGCTCAAAGGTTTTTCGCTTTTGATCCTGTCTTTCAGTTGAGTGCTTTTTGACAATCATGTCTTGGACCCCGGAGGAGAAGCGTCAGCTTTCCAACCTTCTTCAGAAGGCCCAGAAGGAAGGTATGCCAGATGAGTTGCTACCTCTCGCATCGGCCACAGCTCAGGGTACCAGTCCTCGACATTCCGATGATGGATTTTCTTTGATCGCCGGCTTGGGCTCTATGTCAGACGCCTCCAAGCGCAGAGATTTGGATTTTCCTGAGAGCAAGAATTCCAAGCGTCTGTATAAGCAGACAGTTCCCTCAGCAGCCCCTTCTGGCTCTCCCATTCAGTATGAAGGCGACATTCCGGGATACGAGGGTGGATACTATGTAGCTCCAGGAGTGAAGCCTTCTCCTTTCCCTGCGGGTTGTCAGATTCCAAGTGTTGAGGTGCCTCAAACTCCTCTACCAGAAGGAGTGCAGAGCCTCAGCCAATGGGGACGCACCTTGATGTCTTTCGGTCAGTACAAGGATTCTGGCCTGTCGTATTTTGATGTGATTTCCAGTACAGAAGAAAAGAAAGTGAAATACGTTCGCTGGTGCAAGAGCCGAAGCTCTTCAGCCGGAGGCTTTCTGAAGGATTTTTGTGAATACATCCAGCTGTATGAAGTCAGCACCGGTGGCGTCCAAGGCCCATGCATTCCTGGGACGGATCATGTCCGCCACTTTAAATCTTAAAGATTTAAGAGCAGTGTGAAAACTCTCACACGTGAGCATCTTCCCATGTACGCAGGGACTCCTCGGCTTAGGCAAGAAAGGGCGCCCATCCGTTGCCGACACGGCGTCGGCTACCAGTGCTTTGTCATATATATATATACTTGTGGATTAATCTCTTCACAGGAAAAACATGGAAAAACACTACTCATTCTCATCATCGTCCTCCTCCATGTTTCTCCTCCCCCCAAGCCGGCGCGGTGGTTGGACCTCCCCGCTCCCCTACACCCTTCTCTCCCCCCAACCTCCTGGGGTGAGGGAAGATCCATGGGCCGCTTGGCTGGAAGACCACACCTTGGACGACTGCTGGCTGTGCTTGCTGGGAACCGGAGAAAAAACAACACCGAAGCCTCAGTTTCGGGGATTCACCCCGTTTCGGGGGTTCACCCCGTTTCGCGGGTTCATCCATCAAGAGGGAAAATCAGACATCACCCTTTTGTTCCAACCAGGACACTGGCCCACATCATTGGCACCCCACATGAGCAGCTGCCCTCCATCGCTGGCGTCCTGTGGAGACCGCACGAACGGCGGTGGAGACCGAAGGGCTTGAGTCACATGGCATGGAGGGAGTGAATGACTTAAGTTGTTTCTAATATGGTCTTCACAGGGGTCTATCTTCCACTTCTAGGGGAGGGCCCACCATGGGAACCCATGGGAAACACCCTGGTTCGCAACCAAAGGCTTTCCTTGAAGGCGGTCTCCATGGGTAATTAGGGGCCCCGCGACGTGTTAGTGGTCATGTCCAACCAAGCTCTTCTCTTACTTTGGCCACAGGTTTGTCTTCCGCTTCCATCAGTAGACCATCTGAGAAGCGCCTGATATGAATGTTCATCGATGTTTTCCCCCATTCAACAAACACCTGGTGCAAGCGACATGATAAGACACGATGAGACCGTATTTTGAACCGCCTCAGAAAACACGTTGTGGCCTGCAGCCAGCACAAAGGCATATTAAAAGCGTAAACATAGCGGAAGAATGCAATTGCAAGGGATATGATTTGGACTGAATACAATAAGCAGTTAAACATTCTAACAAACAACATTCACACCGGCGTTAACCAGAATATTGACTCTTCTATTTACTCCTAGTCACAAAGACATGAAACCAATAATTGATCGACCTCAGGATCCAAGCGAGAAAAAACCACATGTTTTAAGGATCTTTTCCCAAAGCATCTATGGGATTGGAATAGTTACCAACCATGGATGGGTCATAATCTATAGGCAAATGTAGGTCGGTAGGTGTAACTATTCCACACATGGAGTGTCTGGGTTTATATAGTTTCACTACGTGTCGCTACAATAGGTGAAAACCTACCCTTCCACACACCAGCCGCAAGTCTCGCTCCACATGCCCCATGCGCACAGACACACCTGCCCCAGCAGCGCAGCAGAGAAGGCGCCGCCGCACTCCACCTGCAGCGCTGCGCTCTTCAGCGGCACTGGCTGCGGTTGCGGACGCCGACTGCTAGCACCTCCAAAGCCCACCTACGCCATTCTGCGCGTGCTTCGAACGCGCGTGCCCGAAAGAAATGGTGCAAGCCTCCTGTGTAAATGTAGATAGATGTTTCTTTGTTCGCCGGGATGGCACTAAGATGCACTAACTACCCTGCGTTTTTCTCTAAACGATTCGTGGTAATCGTACACTGAGAAATTCTGCAGGACCTTAGCAATCCAAGATTGTTCGATGGTCGACAAATGTTGCCAGGCGGAGAACGAAGCCTCTCGATCCCGATGAAGCCTTGGCATGAGCCCGATCTCAACAAACATGCAAACCTGGCCCCTTAAAAGAAGTGGACAGGGATTGCATGAATGTTGGATATTGAACCATGCCCGCTTGCAGGCCAAGCAGGCCAAGTGCTGTTTGAGGTATCTGCAACCAATGAGTAAAACATAGTAAACCAGTATCAAACGCCTTTTTGAATGTAGAGTGTACTAATTAGGTAACGTACCATATGTATATAGTCATCCCCCGTGTACCAATTGGGATTCCCAGCATCAACGACCAACTCTTCATTCTTCGAATTTTCACATGGTTTGCGAGTGCGACCTCGATGAGGGAACCAAATGAACTCTTGAAAACTTCATCACCGACCCTTTGGCGATGACCGACCGGACCGGCAGTTGTTGGATGCCAGTCGGTTGATCCACAACCATCTCTGAACACCGGAACGCTTCAAATGGCATGCTCGCTGTGGGTGAAGCAGCGAGCATAAGTCTCCGCCCCAAAGTCACGTTCTTTCTTGTTGGAGGGCCAGGGGCTCCCTGGATCGTACGTTCGCCGTTCGCATGCTTCGATCGGCGCCAGGACCGAAGTCTGGTGTCCCACCCAGACTTCGCGCGCGACATGGGTGGCGCGGCGAAGGCCTGGAAGGAGCTGCTGGAAAATCCCAAGCCCAGCTGTCCAAATTCGCCCCAGCCCCATGAGTAGATCTCTCCTGGCAGCATGGCGATGTCGAACGGCTTGTGATCCGGGAAGAACACCTTTTGAAGAGCTTTCTATGGAGAGCTGAAACAGAACTCATCTAATTGTAATATAATATATAGATGAAGTTCTTGGATGTTCTTACTTATTCTCTGCAGAATTGTTTATAGAATTTGCGTTCTGAGTTGTTCTCCGTGACGACACGCATACCCAATGAACCACATCTCCGAACATTTAGATAGGGTCGGGTCGATTCTCCCGATTCTTAGCACTGTCATCGAATGAAAGGATCAAACTGGAGCTGCCAACCACCCCAACTACCCTCCATTCCCTCCAATTCCCCGATATCATCGGGTCCTTTCACGCCCAGCGCCAAGCTATGGACATCTCCACCCGCGACAGCAGAGAGAGCGGGAAGTCCCTCGACGCGTTGGGGAAGACAAACATACGTGTCCTCCAGTTGTAGCTCCTCTGCCGACCAACTCCCACGTCGATCGCACGTAGGTCGAGAGTATCTGTGCGATCGACGTGGGCTGTGGAAAGCTGACCGGCAGATCGACATGGGGGGCTCTGTGCGGAGATGATGCGAAAGACATGGCGAAGGAGATGGGGAGATGTCTTTGACCGGATCTCTCCTTTTGATTCCTTTTGCGGATCACGAGTCAGAGACAAACATGGCGCGTTGGGGACCAAAAACGTACAGAATTGATTGACCTTGGACCAGGCAACTCACTGGCCGCAATCGGATTGCCTCAAATGCAGACTAAATGTAATTTTATATTACATATATGAGAAGTTTCACATGCAGCCCCATCAAATCTACTCTGAAACGCCGAACACCTTTTGGACAGTGTATGTACACCCAAACACTCCATGTATGACTTATTTACTACATTTGGGTGGTTGACAATTCCAGGTCAATGCATGCATATTATTATATGTGCCAGTCGAGTTGGGGATCATATCACCTTGATGGATCACCGCATCCTGAAGCGGCGAACAACTCGAGAAGCCCACTGCTTCACTCCGGATCCTCGATGTGCTTCTGAATGACTGCCTCATCCAGGCCTAGCTGCCCACCCTCCGTCCGGCCCCAGCCTTAGTGGCGCTGTCCAATCCTGGAACCCAAACACCTTCGTCGAAAGAAGGATCGTTGGAGCCCTAGGACGCTAGGGCCTATAGGGTATCATGATGTATCATGTAATTGGTTTCAATCAAACATCACCCTAGCCCTAAAGGCACATCAATCCGTTCAACACGTGCTAAACTCCACTATCCCTACCCAAACCTGGTGCTTGCATCGTTGAAGCTGCTGAGGTCGTGTGTGTCCAGCATGTGCTTTTGGAGATGTGGGTGACTGTTTGTGGTAGTTCTTCTTGCCACAGTTCTCATATCAAATACTCAATGCAAACGAGTTGCACCCATGACAAGAAATCGACTTGTTAGTACTAGTACTAATGCTTTGGTACTTTAAGTCGATGGATGAGCTCTTGTACTTGGTTCTTACAGGCCACGCATTGCTGCAGTGGCTTCTACTTAGGTCTCATGAACTTCCGGCTGTCCACCCCTCATCTAGCGCACTAGTCCGAGAGTCACTAGTTGCAGTATTTCGGCAACGCTTGAAAGTTTGCGTGCTTTGCAAGAGTCTTTCATTCTCAAAGGGCTATCAGGGGGCGTGATGCTACTGCTACTCGCGTCTTAAGAAGAAAACGTGTGTGTTCCTCCTCCACTCATTCCTTATAACTTATAACTTATAACACAATGATGAGAAGTAGTTGAGGTATGACTACCCCGCAAAAGGAACGCAAACAAGCATCTACCATGGCAGTAAATATATGTTTACAGGAACACATCAAAAAGAGGTGTGGTGACCTCACTCGGGAAAAACACAAAAACATGAGTCAGGGCGCCTGACGTTGGCTCCAAATCTATCAGAATCACTATCCTTAGGGCTCCAAGTACCTTCTGAGAAAGTGTTTGGAGTGGGTTTGGAGGATCCAAATACCTTCTGAGGATGCACTTGGAGCCCCACGGTATAAACCAGCTGACAGAGATTTCCTTGGAGCCCACATCTGACCCGCCCTGACCGCTTCAGCGACCCCGTCTGACCGCTCGCTCCTTTCATGGGCACCGATCCGGCTGGGTGAATGACGAGCGGACCCGGACGACGAGAGCAGCTTCTTGCTCCGTTCGTAGCAATGCCCTATAGTTACTATAGATGTTACTATAGATGTTACTAGTTGCTAGTAGTCCTTCTTCATATATGTCACTGTTCGTTCGCTCCAAGGGGCTGAAGAGTTGTCCCTCGCTGATGGCAAAGGCATGATACGACCCGCAGGCCACCCAGCTACAGCGATGGACATCGCCTCCTCTGTGCGACAGGTCGCGTTTCGAGGAGTTCGTTTTCGGCTCGAGCGTTTCGAAACCGCTGACGCAGAAAATGACGGTGACGCGGGGTTAGTTCGCGCCGTTTGGAGCGGATCTGGGACCTGGTCATACCGAAGTGAAGCATTGCTCAATGAAGACCAGGCTTTACCGGG